TCCCCATGTATACACACACACACACACACACACACACACACACGTTTCCCTGTAGCCCTTGCAATGTGCTCATGTACCCCTGGGAGTCTGCCTGTACATATAATTATATGACAATAGAATATTATATGAAAAGTTTTTTTTTTTTTTTTACTTTTATTTGTACCTCTATAAATCTATTTGTATACAGGTATTTACTTTTGTGTTTAAAATGGGTAAACCGTATTTTTCAGACTGAGAAATTTGTACGATTTTGCTTCTGTACCCCAAATGTTTTTGTCAAACTATGACTACACCCTGACACATACATGTTGATGATTCTCCAGAAGTAGAATTTAAGGGATCTGATTATAATCTGAAAATAATTTTATTTTGCTTTTTTAAATTTGAACATTTACTTCTTATAATGTAAGTGATATTGAAACTGAAATCCAAAATAAAATTAAATTTGTTGCCTTGAAAATAAAGAAGCAATAGACATTTAAAAAAACAAATCAAAACAAGAATTAACCTACCTGTTCTCGTTTTGGCATGGCTGTGGTGCATATTACTGATTTTGGAAAATAAATTATTCAATAACTCCACATACCCCCTGCAATGCGCCCAGGTACCTCTGAGAGTATGCATACCCCTGTTTGGGAAACACTGCTCTATAGCATGGAGTGTGCCATAAGGTCATCAAGAATACTTTCACTTAATTTGTCCGAAAATTCTAATTTATTACAAATTATAACAAAAATATCATTGTTCATCTATCTATGCCAGCGACATATAGGCAGAACAGATCAATGTTCCCACATCTTCCTGTAGCCATTCACACAAAAGTAATAAATCATGGATTCCTGTGAATATATCATCTTGTGTTCCTTAAACAGTCCAGATTCTTACAGGAAATAAATATTAATTTGTGAGTAATTGAGATAAGATGGGCAGCACGGTGGTCGACTGGTTAGCGCGTCGGCCTCACAGTGTAGAGGTTCATGGTTTGATTCCGGCTCCGGCCTTCCTGTGTGGAGTTTGCATGTTCTCCACGTGCCTGCGTGGGTTTCCTCAGGGTACTCTGGTTTCCTCCCAAATTCCAAAAACATGTGAGGTAGGTTAATGGAACACTCCCTAGGTGTGAATGTGCGCGCAAATGGTTGTTTGTCAATATGTGCCCTGTGATTGGCTGGCAATCAGTTCAGGGTGTACCGTACCCCACCTACCGCCCTAAGACAGCTGGAATAGGCTCCAGCATGCCCCGCGACCCTTGTGAGGACTGGAGAAAATGGATTGATGGATAAGATACAACTTATTTTAATTGGAATATTGTATCAAAGCAAACACTGAAAACACACATATTACTGTTCATTTAACATTATTAAAGAATGTGCAGCTATACATTTTACCACCTTACAAAACAGTAACAAAAAGTTCCCTCATGATGATTTGCATTGGTGAATTATGAGTCATCTCGTTTTTTTTTTTGGGGGGGGGGCTGTTTTTGTCTTAGATTTTAGTGGGGTTGAATATGGAGTGTATTTGTCAAAGTGCAAGATTGGGGCGGGGCATGAGTGCGCCAATTCCCAAACAACTGTTTGGCCTCCCTTCTTCTGTCCGACCATCCACTATTCCCAAAATAAATCCATTGAAAACAAACCCGAAAACCAAGGCCCTTGTCTGCTACAAGGTCATGTCATGAATCAAGTGCTTTTCTGAAGCGCAATTAGCCTGCGCGGTGTCGTACAAATGCCTCGGAGGTGTGCTTTTCAAGGGCGTGACCTTGCGAGGGAACTCAGAGACCTCTCATTTCGCTTTGGGCCGCTTTTCCCATTCAGCGCGCCAGCTCTCCTTGCCCACACGTGAGGGCATTGCGGGCGGAGCGACAGACTTCGCCACCCTCCCCGAGCCCCCATTTGACCAGTTGAGCGTGCACGCGCGGAGCCAAAGTTGCCGGCGACAGCGCAAAAAGCTCCCGAGGGAGCGACGAATCATTTGGCCGTCCCCGCTCGGGTTTACCCGAAACGTGTCTCGCGTCCAGGAGGCTAGCAACGCGCCGGCCTTTCACCTCGCGGTCGCCAAAGTGGAGCCGGTGCCCCCCGCCCCCCACCCCAGCGCATGTTTGTCCAAGTCCAGTCGGGCTGCGGTTGTCGTCGGCAGGAGCGCCGCTTGTTTGGTGTTGACGTGCTGGCCTCTCCCTTTCGCTCTGTGTGCATTTGTCGATGACAATATCGATGTGGTGGCAGTGATTTTTGTTTGCTTTTGTGTTTCTTGGCCGCCTCTCACCGCTCTCGTCTCCTTGGTCGTCTGCGTTGACCTTCTCCAGTGCGACCGGGCGCCGGCTGACTCCATCCCCGGCGTATGTACCGCAGCCTTATTCCTATGACGACGACCATTGTTGCGGTTGTGCTATCGCGGGTTGCCGCTTCGGGGCGCGTGTTGCCGTCCGTCCCGATCCGTCGTCTTCTGTCTTTGTTACGACGCGGAAGGGTGCGCGATGAGGAAAAGGAGAGAAGGCAACGCGCCTCTCTTCAGCCCCGTGTTGAGTGGCCAGCAGTAGCGTGACAGGGAGACATTTTCAAATGATTCTTTGGCCTTTTTACTTCGCTATTTCTCTGCGTCCGTACAGAAGAAGAGGAAGGTCAGTCAGTCGGTCGTTCTAGCTGACTTGATGACGCTCATTTACAAAAAAAGAAAATACTACAACTAAGAAAAACGTCACGAAAATTAAACATTTTCCCCCAAAATTAAAACCAATTAAAAAATGATTCGCCTGCTGGAAAAGTCATTCAGACTCTCTGAATTTCAAAGTCAAAATGAAATCCAAACTAGCTCATCATGAAAACGATCTCGTCGCTGTGAAGTGAATTTCGATCGCGGCAAGAATCGTGTTGTATGGAGTGGAAAAAAAAAAAGAAAATGCAGCTTGAGCCACCCGCGCGTGTCAATCACGTTCATTCCGTTCAACGCGATAGAATTCCCCGTCATGATTGCGAAACGGCAAAAAAATAGAATCAAATACATCCCTCTGAGATTCCTGTATTGCACAATACACGGGGCTGTACCATCTCTCCCGTCACGCTTGTCTGTCAGTCTGCGGCCCATTTGGCAGAAAACATCGGGGCTGCGCTTTTTTTTTTTTTTTCTCTCTCTCTCTTCAGTCCCCGAAGGCGGCACGGGCAGAGTCAACACGAGGTCACTTCAAGTAGCCACTTCTGACAAGCGCTCGAAGCTTTGGTGGCTGGATTGGGTGGCACGCTTGAATCCGAGTCTATTGGCACATTGGCCAGAACTGTCCCCTTTGGGACTTGGTTGATGAGATTTCTTTTTGGAAAAAGGGCCTTTCAACTAAGAGCTTCCACTCGTTTCTCTGTGCGGTTTGTCAGCGTGTGACATTCGCTTCCGCTGATGAAACTGCGTATAATTCATTCTCGTGTGTGTGTGTGCGTGTGTGTGTGGCAGCCCCCAGCCAAGTTCCTCCTGCCTGAGGTCAGTATAGCAGACTGCGGCAGGAACTGCGTCGTGATCGACCTGGACGAGACTCTGGTTCACAGCTCCTTCAAGGTATGCTCCGTTCACGGGAGTCTCGGATCAAAACGGCACCGGTGAAGATAGGACAGAAGCAAAGCCAAACAATGTCAACGCCGAACTTGGATTTGCGGGGCTAAAACAATCCGTTGAGTTGAAACAACTACCAATCGTTGACCTTGATGGCAATCGTGTGAGTTAGCGAGCAAGTTGTTTGCTCCAAAGGTTGTTCGACTGGTAGCGTGCCACCAATTACAAACGCGGCAGAGCTGATTTTCATATTGCGTTGAGGTGCCCAACTTAACTTTTGTTGTCGTTTGGGAGTTTGTGCTCGTGAAATGTGCACTCCGGTTTTGTCTCCGCTGCGGATGGCGGAGAAACGTGTCCGCGCGGTGTCTCGGGTCCACCCGTGAGTCACGCGCGAACGCACGCAGAAGCTATCAACGGGCAGGCCCTTTCGCCGGACGCGAAACGGGCCCCGGCTTGCCACGCGTGGCAACAGGTGACAATCGTGTAAATGATTCGCCGGGGTGATCGTGGCTGCTCGTTGAACCCGAGCCAACGCTCCGATACCGCGGGGG